GCTCCCACTGTTAGCTCCAGCTTTTGCCAACCTAGCAGTTTGAAAACATGCAAATGTGAGTTAATCAATAGGTACTGTTCAGGCGGGCAGGTAATAGTGCTCCATGCAGTCATGCCGGCCACACATGACCTTGGAGGTGTCTATGGACAACGCCAAGTCTTTGGCTTAGAAATGGAGATGAGCACCAACCCCCAGAGTTGAACATGTCAAGGAGAAACCTTTACATTTTACCTTAGCTTTGAATAGCATAGGGAAGGATTTACATCCCTGTGACATTTGTTTTGCTGTCTGTGCCCTTGTTCAGAAGATTTCACCTCACTTTCTGTCTCTGCAACAATTGGATTTTGAACATTTTGGCTTGTCATGGAAACAAGGATTAGTGATGAAGCTTCAGTTGACACACCTTTTACCCATGATAACTCTTCCAGGTGTGAATTTCCCTTCCTAGAGATAGATTTCCTCTCACTTCCTATTGTCTCATTCCTGTTTGTAACTATGAGTCATTTGTAAGTTGGATGTTTGTAACTCAGGGACTGCTTATATTTAAAAGGTTTTTACCACAGGAGCAACCTTTAGTGAGTTGGTTCATATAGACTCTCCCCAATCATTCTCTGGATGAACAACCATGCCTAAGCATGAGTTCTCTGAAGGCACACAGGGACACACGCAGAGCTCAAGAAGGAAGGAACCTCTTCTATACATCTCAGCCTGTGGTTACCCAGATGTTTTGGCCTTCAACTCCCAGAAATCCTAAAAGCTGGAAAACTAGCTGGGATTTCTGGGAGCCACAAGTTGAGAACTACTGCATTAAGGGTTCTATCTCAAGTGTAGGAAGTATCTATGGGAGTGTCTTTGTGCATTGAGAACTCATTCACATGAACGTCTAACACATGCTCATTGGGAGAAGTAGAGTTGGCAGATGGTTTCAGTGGTACAGATTATCCAAAATCTTGGGACCAGAAGTGTTTTGGATTTTGGAGTACTTGCATTTGCACATATGCAAATGTTCATAATAAGGGATCGTGCAGATGGGACCCAAGTCTAAATGGAAAATATATTTATGTTTCACATGTATCTTATACACATAGCCTAAAGGCAATTTCATACAATATTTTCAATAATTATGTGCACAAATCAAAATCTGTATTCATTGAACTATCATAAACAAAAGGGGTCACTATTTCAGCGACCAAAGTGGACTATTTTGGATCTGGGAGTATTTCAGAATTCCAGATAAGGAATGCTCAAACTATAGTCGGATTTTCTTTGGAAGCCCATGACTTTCTGTGAGAAGGGATTATGCATATATATTTTTCCAATTTGCCAGATGAGTTGTACTATAATAAAAATTTAAAACTTGCCAGAATCACTGTGATATTAGTAGGAAGATGGGTTTGCTTAGATTGGTTTAAGTAACTTTCCAAAATATACACAGTAATGGAAATAATTTGATAATTATAATAACTGAGATGTGAAAGACAGTGAAATTACAGATTGTCCATTCAATTTTATCAATTATAGCTTTGAACAGAAAAACAGATACCACTTTGGCTATCCAATGTTTTGTTTTGTTTTCCTGGGGAAGGAACTATTACGATTTCATATTGTTTGGCTCAATCTTATTGTAAACTTTATATTTTGATTTTATTTCTGTTTTATGGTTTGATTTTATTTCAATAATTTGAATGCTGCATGTTCCCCAAATATTTAAAGTGAACTAGAGATTTGAAAGGAATATTGAGGCAAAGGGTACACTTAATTTGGAGAACATATCAGAAATCAAGGCATTTATTTTAATTACCATATTTGTAAATATTTACCATATTTGTAAATAAAGATCCATCAAATACATATTTGGATTTGATGGATCTTAGTTCTAAATAATCAGATACAAGACCATAAATTAATAAATAAGGTGGTTTTAAAAATATTGCTAATGGATATGCTTCCATGTTAAAACATTTATTGGCATACTTTTAGCAGAAGACACCATAGTATTTAAATAAGTTTATGTGTATCTGTTCATTTAATTATTCTTGCCTACCTTATTGGTTCTCCATCTAGGAAACCATTATGCACACAATACTAATTAATACATTTTGTTCAAATAGAGATTCAACATGTGGCTTGTTTTTCTGGTGGTGTGTACGATCCAAGGAATTTTATCTTCAAAAGAACTAGAACCTCAAAATGGAACTGTGAATCCTGAAGTATACATGAATATTGTAAGTTGTGTCATAAATCCTTTTTAAGTACTAAAAAGCATTTAAAAGTGTCTTTTATTTCATTCACAATGAGACAGAGTATACCACAGAGCAATACAGAGAAAGAAAGAAGACACACAGACTCTATAGAGATACACAAACAAAGGGGATATTACATTTCACTCAGCATTCGTATGTACACACACATTCACTCCTCTCCTCCTCCTGGAGAAGAGACCTACACATAGGCCAGATTGATTCCCTGCAAATCTCACCATGAAATAAAGAGCCCAGACACAAGAAAATAGATGTAGAGGGCCATTTCCTGACCTATTTGTTTATAAGAACTCCTGGAATAACCTATGAAAAAAACATTAAGGGGATTTAATACATAAGATTTAACATATGGTATATTAGCTACCTAGTGAGAATTGTCCTTGGGCCAGGTGTCACTTCCTCTGACCACATCCAAGGATATATGTGCACCAAAGATTTTGAAGTCCATTCAATTTTTTTGTTGCACCTCTCAGCCAATCATAACTGGATGGTCATCCTGAGGATGTTCTTCTGAAAGAAACTCAGATTTCTCTCAGAGTGAGAACCTTCATTCCAGCCCCAAGGGTAACCTCTTTTTCAGGCTCTGACCTGAAAAACTTAAAGGAACTATTATGGGAGTCCATCTTTCACCCCCTAAAGCAGGAAGGACAGCAGGGAAGTCGAGCAGCCTCTAGATAGCCTGCAGTTCCTCCCCTGTTATGTGATTGGGGCTGGTGAAGCCAACTAACTCTGCCTCCTTCATGGGGGCCTTCAAATCCCTTCACCACATGTATTTTCTGTTCGTCGTAGGTTCCCTGTGGGAAGTTTGGCCCAATTCTATCATTGGTGGGGATCGGAATGATCTTTTATTGTAGGTGAACTATAAATCCTAGGGACTACAACTCCCAAATGCCAAGGTCTATTTTCCCCAAACTCCACCAATGTCATTCACATTGGGCATGTTGAGTATTCATGGCAAGTATGGTCCAGATCCATCATTGTGTGAGTCCATAGTGCTCTCTGAATGTAGGTGAACTACAACTCCAAACCTCAAGGTCAATGCCCACCAAACCCTTCCAGTATTTTCTGTTAGTCAAGGGAGTTCTGTGTTCAATTCCAGTGTTGGAGTTCATAATGCTCTTTGATTGTAGGTAAACTATAAATCCTAGCAACTACAACTCCCAAATGACAACATCAATCCCCTGCCAACTCCACCAGTATTCAAATGGGGGGCATATCACATATTTGTGCCAAATTTGGTCCAGTGAATGAAAATACATCCTGCATATCAGATATTTAAATTAGGATTCATAAAAGTAGCAAAATTGTAGTTGTGAAGTAGCAACAAAAATAATTTTATGGTTGGTGCTCACCTCAACATGAGAAACTGTATTAAGGGGTCACGGCATTAGAAAGGTTGAGAACCACTGTTCTAGTGCAATTAAACCTCACTTTCGTCCCTCTGATCCTCTGCCTAGATACACTACATGGCCTGCTTACCCAGTGTTTTAAACTTTTAATCCTTGCAACTCACCCTGCCCAATTACTGTGACCTTATAGTTGGTGTGTTTATTTATACTGTTTTTGTATATTATTATTATTATTATTATTATTATTATTATTATTATTATTATTTTACTGCTGGTATTTTATGTTGTATATTTGCTTTGCTGTACTGTTGGGCTTGGCCTCATGTAAGCCACCCCAAGTCCCCTTGGAGAGATAGTGGCGGGATATAAATAAAGTATTATTATTATTATTAGTTGTTCCCAAACTCCAGGCTAGGTCAGAGAGAGGTCAACCCTCCTGTTCAAGGAGCTCCATTGGCTGCCGTTCATTTTCCGGTCCCAATTCAAGGTGCAGGTGCTCACCTACAAAGCCCTAAATGGTTTGGGACCTGCCTACCTGCATGACCGCATCTCCATTTACGAACCCGCACGCTACCTTCGGTCATCTGGAGAGGCCCTGCTCGCGATCCCACCTGCGGCGCAGGCGCGTTTGGTGGGGATGAGGGACAGGGCCTTCTCTGTGGTGGTCCCCTGACTCTGGAACTCTCTCCCCAAGGACATCAGACAAGCCCCAACATTGGCTGTCTTTAGGAAGAGCCTGAAGACCTGGCTGTTCCAGTGTGCCTTTCCAGAATAGGAAACTCCTGGCTTCAAGTCCCAAATGCACTTTGCTAGAGATTCAGGATTATCTGCACATTGCACCTACCTCCATATACCTCTACATATTACCTGTCAAGTTCAGCATTTTTAAATTTTGTCCATTACATTGGCCCGGCCTTTAGGTTTTAATTGTGTCACGGTGTTATTGTCCTATTGTCCTATTGTTTTGCTTGATGTTTATTATTTGCTTATGAGTTTATTGTGTATTGTATGTTGTTGATTGTCGGCGGCCTTGGCCTTTGTAATCCGCATCGAGTCCTCTGGGAGATTTTGCGGGGTATAAATAAATAATAATAATAATAATAATAATAATAATAATAGGTATCTGTCTTTGGCTTTGATGGGATGCAGAGGTCCCAAACTGTTCATTAGCTCTGGGACTTTGTTAAGGGACCATAGAACAGTGAAATTAACATAGTTTTTCATCAGAGAGATCACTCCTCATCCCATTTCCTCCCTATCACATAAAAAAAAATTAAATTTGCATGATTTTTTTCATATTTTCCCAAGATTCTAATATTTCTTTGATATTTATGAATATTGAATATTCCAAAACAATTTAGCACTAATTTACATGCGAGATAAAAACATAATGGAATTACATGTATGTATCACTCAACAGAGTGAAATCATCCGCCACAGGGGATATCCAGCTGAAGAATATGAAGTAGTAACGCCAGATGGTTATATCCTCAGTATCAACCGAATTCCTTATGGCAGAAGAGAACCTTGGAACACATGTGAGTGAAAACACTATGGGAACTGGAAGTCTCCTTAATTCACAGGAGATGTGTGAGAAACATTTGCTTTGCATCAGTTACCTAGAAAATCAGCCAGCATGCATCACTGTATGATAGAGTGTACATAGGCCTGATGGCGTGTAGAAATCTGTGAGTTTGATTTCTTCTGCAGTTCAATATTGTGATGCAAGAAGCTTTCTTAAAAAGCTACTCTCCACAATTGTTCATTTTTACGTACTTAACTTCCTAGTAGTGGTGTTAAAGAATTGTGAAAATACAAATGAAGGCACCAGGAAGAAAGGACTGATGTGCACTGGCACTTTCTTGCCCAGTGGTTCTCAACCTATGTGTCCCCAAGTGTTTTGGCCTTCAACTCCCAGAAATACTAACAGCTGGTAAACCACCTGGGATTTCTGGGAGTTGTAGGCCAAAATACTTGGGGACACATAGGTTGAGAACCATTCTTATAGCCAATGACCCTTTGTGCATCAGTCCCCATTGCACACCCATTTCTATTATGCAGACGTTCTATTGTTTATCAGTTACTCCATTGGCTTCTCTGTGCAGTAATTTATGCCTTTGCTGAATGTGGATGTTGTGCAACTGCTCAGTTTTGCTTCCTGGAGACTTAAATGCACTTCCAAAAATGCAAATGTCTTAGTGAATTCTGACCACTAACAAAAAATAAATGCATATTTTGGGCTGCATTTTCCTTGTGTACACATTTTCTTCATTTTAACAATTTTTCCCCATCAAAGAGTATTTATTTATTATTATTAATTTATTTATTTGCTATACTTGTATACCGCCGTTTCTCAGCCTAGCCGGCGACTCAACGCGGTTTACAACAACTTATAACAAACAACAGTATACAGTTTAAAAGCATAAAAACATGATCCACAATACATATATCAATAAACAATCCAATTCATCTCTTGACTAAAATCGTGATCCAGTTTCGTCGTCCAAATTGCCAGTCCTTCAATCATTACACTTATTGCACTGAGTTAACCAAACGCCTGCTCGAACATCCAGGTTTTTAGTCTAACACCATCAGGGAGGGGGCTGATCTTACCTCCATGGGAAGGGCGTTCCATAGCCGAGGGGCCACCACAGAAAAGGCCCTGTCTCTCGTCCCCGCCAGCCGCATCTGTGAAGCAGGCGGGATAGAGAGCAGGGCCTCCCCAGAAGATCTTAGGGTCCTGGTGGGCTGATAGGCCGAGATACGTTCGGATAGGTAGGTTGGGCCAGAACCGTTTAGGGCTTTAAAGGCCAACGCCAGCACTTTGAATTGAGCACGGTAGCAATCGGCAGCCAGTGGAGCTGGTACAGCAGAGGAGTTGTATGCTCCCTGCGTCCTGCTCCTGTTAGTACCATGGCTGCCGCCCGTTGGACTAGTTGGAGCTTCCGAGCCGTCTTCAAAGGCAACCCCACGTAGAGAGCGTTGCAGTAGTCTAAGGCGGGATGTAACCAGAGCGTGGACTACCGTGGCCAAGTCAGACTTCCCAAGGTACGGGCGCAGTTGGCGCACGAGTTTTAACTGTGCGAATGCTCCCCTGGTCACCGCCGAAACCTGGGGTTCCAGGCTCAACGATGAGTCCAGGATCACACCCAAACTGCGAACCTGCGTCTTCAGGGGGAGTGCGACCCCATCCAACACAGGCTGTAACCCTATACCCTGTTCGGCCTTACGACTGACCATGCTCACGTGCAGATATTTTTATTTTAAAAATAATATCAATTTTGTAATTTCTCACTAGGGTCATGTAATTTAAACATCCAGAGTTTGTTTTTTCAAAAGCAGAAGGGTGTTGAGAAATATTGCCAAAGTTGGCTGTATGAGCTAACAGGAATTACACAAGTATTGCAAGAGCAACAAGAGCTTTGAACAGTAGCAATTAAAGATTTCCCAAGAAGTAGATGTTTGCTGCCAAGTATCAGGCTTTCTTTCACAGCTGCCTTCCTTCTTGGATCCCACATTCACATTCTTCACATATTCTTGCCATACATCTTCCATACATTGACATCAACTACATTATGCATCATAGCCTCATTAGATGTATAATTAAGGAACAGATACTTCAATGTCTGGGTGCAGAAAGGGGAAGTGAATGTGTATTTGACTTTGTTGGCCATGCCAAGAACACTAATTGTTAAGACTAATGTATTTTAATATTTCTATCTACTTCTAACTCTGTGTTGTGGCCCACGGTGATAAAAAGATAGCAAAGATACTTCAAAATCTAGACCTGTTTAGGAAATAAGCCACATATAGAAATGCTCAAATTAGATGGAGCTAAACCTTGATGCAGTTATTATATTAAGATACTTGAGATACTTGATAGAGTAAAAGATTTTTATAATAAGATACAGAAGGAAATAGAAGAATTAATAGGGCATAAATTGGTTTTGAATAAAAAAAGAATTTTTCACCCAGAAATTAGACAAAATGAAAACATCAGAGCTTGGGGGGAAATAATAAAATACATGATAGTTGCCGCCCAAGCAACTGTGGCCTTGGGGTGGAAAGACCATAGAAAGTGGGAAGTTAAAAATGGTACGATTACCTAGCAGATTATATGCTTCAGGACTACATCTCTGAAAGAAGAGCCAAATACACAGCATGCTGAATCAAGAAGATCTGGGTTCAGAAATGGGGGAGACTGTTAGAAAAAGTCGAAGGAAACGAAAGATATAAAGAGCTGGACCATTCTCTTTACACAATTGTTCAATTAAATAAATATTTGAATGAAGACAAGTACTGTTCCCAGAGGGTGGGGGTGGGGGGAGGAGGTGAGGGGAGTAAAATCAATCGACACAAGTGGGAGATAAAGGTGGAATTGATAAGAACACTATGAAAACAATATGTAATATGTAGTCAACGTGTACTTCAATATTTGAAAATGGTGATGGATTGTGATATTATTCTACCTGTATCAGCAATATAAATAAACAAATAAGTAAGCGGTGGCTCCTCGGCTGTGGAACACCCTTCCCGTGGACATCAGACTGGCTCCTTCCCTGATGATATTCCGCAGGAAATTAAAGACGTGGCTGTTCAAGAAGGCGTTCGAACAAGAAGTGCAATAATTGGTAATGACGACAGGAATGGAACAACGGAAAATGATACTGGATTGTGGTTTAAACGATGAGACGACGCGAATGGCTTTTTGTATTAATGATATTGTTGATGTTTTTGATGATGATGTTTTTGGTTATTGCTAGACTGATATTTTAGATTGTGTCTTGAATTTTGAACCTTGTCCTTTCTATGTTGTACACCGCTGTGAGTCGCCCCCCGGGCTGAGAACAGCGGTATATAAGCAAAGTAAATAAATAAATAAATAAATAAAGGATGCTTGAAGTACCAAATACTCAACTATCATTTTTAAAATTTCTTTCAAATTCATTTGACATTCAAGTAAATAAATCAGGATATTGTTTAATGGAAATTTTTGTGACTATCTTTTTGCAGATAGAAAACCAGTTGTGCTTTTGCAGCATGGCTTTGCTTTGGAGGGGAGCAGTTGGATTAAAAATATGGAAAACAACAGTCTCGGGTTCATGCTGGCAGATGCAGGGCATGACGTCTGGATAGGGAATAACAGGGGCAACTCCTGGTGTAGAAAGCATCAAAATGTATCAGCTGACCAAGAACAATATTCCAAATACAGGTAAATGAAAATTAAATGCATAGAAACCATTGAAAAAGTCAATGTTGTGTACCACATAAAACGAGAGTCAGCAACCGTAACTAATAACAACAGCAAATTATTCTTTCTGTTGCAGTTTTGAAGAAATGGCGAAATATGACCTTCCAGCAATAATCTATTTTATTGTAGAAAAAACTGGAGCCCCTAAGATTCATTTTGTTGGGTTTTCTCAGGGTGCTACTCAAGGTATGTTAAAGATATTACTGTGGAATTAACAGTGCACAATAAAATGTGGATGCAGCATGTACAGCTGTGAGATTAAAATATAATTGAAAGCCTAGTGAATCTGGATAAAAGCTGGATACATCTCTTCTGATGTGCAATTTCAATTGATTCTGATTTGGAGTTAGGACATAATGCTTCACTAGTCACTTCCTGAAGAAAGCAATAAATAATGTTAATAATTGAAAACTAATTTAGGACTAATCCATGCAAACTTAAAATATGGTTGTTTTGCAAAGGAAACAGAATTTTCTGCACAGGAAACAGAATTTTCTGTGCAGAAAACAGCATTTCTTCACAGAACTATTATTTCCTAGGCAGAAAATAGCATTTTCTGCATATCAAATATTGTTTTCTATGAAAATCAACTTGTGGATTTTGCATGATTCTTGTTTTGCTCAATATAGATCTCAATTCACCTGTTTCTTGCTTTCCAACTGGGCTGGCAAGCTCCAAATTTCATTCTAATCACCAAGAGAGGAGGGGAAAAATAATCAATCTGCTGCCATATCCCATCTCTATACCCACTTTTCATATGGGGACCATAAGTGGGAGTGAGCTCCCTACAAAAATTGTGTAGCTTGTTGTCGACCTTTGCAAAAAGAAAGACAGTTTCATCTGTCAACTAGGAAAATTAGGTACCACTTTGTGGGGAGGCTAAATTAACTGATTTATGAGGCCATAAAAAATCTCAGGAAGTGTGCAAGTATGCAAAGAATGAGGAAGCGACAGCTCCCCTGGTGGCCAGAAGCTGGAAAGTTAATAGCCTCTGAGTGTCTATATATGTTGTGTGTCTATGGCATTGAATGTTTGCCATGTATATGTACATTGTAATCCGCCCTGAGCCACCTGTGGGGTGAGAAGGGCGGAATATAAATACTGCAAATAAATAAATAAATCTTCTTTCACCAAAAGGTGATAGATTAGATATCAAGGAGAAGGTGTGTCTGGATGACATCAGAGGAGGGGAGCTTGTGGAAAGATAGGGTCCCACCAATCCAGTCATGCCATCTAGTCAAGTTACTTGGACCAAGAGAACAATCCAGTTTCTAAAATCACCCTTTCTCTATTAAATGTTTTAGAGTTAATGAGAACACCTGGGAAAATGAGAATTCTGTAACCTGTTTTATGTTTTTATTTTTAGGCTTGATTGCATTCTCATCTATGCCACATGTGGCTGAAAACATAAGAATGTTTCATGCCTTAGCTCCATTAAGTACCCTCAAAAATTCTCAAAGTCCTTTTGTCAAACTGATGTTCTTGCCTGATAAAATCATAAAGGTATTTCATTTACGTCATGAAAAGTGTGTTGATAATTTTAAATTTTTTATTATCTCCCCCCCCCCCCGAGATATGTTGCCATCGTAGAACTAATTCAAACATGCATATACACAATGTCATTGCTGAACCTTTGAAAATTTAACATCCAAGTTGGTCCATTCAAAAAATATGGTACTTGAAGTTAGGGATCAATTCAATTTTGTCTCCTCCACATTTTTAACTAAAACAACCTACTTTACACTACACAAAGATGTAGATGAAAATATGGATATCCTTTTATTGCATATGTCACTGAATTTTGCTGTATGGCTTGTAAATCTATGTTTGTCCCTTTACATGGTATGAATGTCCATGTCCCGGGATTTCTGACAACTACCTCTTCATATGGCCCCTGGGACCATGCCATTTCACTGGCAGAACGAAAGGCAAGCGGGGCAGCTCATGGCACCCTGCATGTTCTCCTTCCTTCCCCATCATATGGTAGGGGTGGGACACGACATGTTGGCACCTTCCAATAGTAGTAAAGACTTTAAAATCCTGATAGGGTTTTGATCAGAGTTTTACACAAATTGCTTTTAAGTGATCGTCTTTTATTACATTTCCTCTTTATTATTATTCATTGTTTGGTTTAAATTGTTTTATTGTAATTAATGATTTGATTCTATTCATACTTTGATCTTCTGTATACTCTATAAGTATTACATTCACAAGTTGCCTTAAATCATAGACAGGGCATGTATATATATATATATATATATATATATATATATAGACACACACACACATTTATATCCCACCCTTCTCACCCCACAGGGGACTCAGGGTGGAGCACAATATGAATATGGCAAACATTCAATGCCAGGACATAAAACCATAAATATATACAAATATTAAAATTACTTATATCCACTTTAAATTCAATTGCTAAAAACCATCTCAGGACACCATTCTATCATTGAGATACTCTACCAGCAACAGCAGAATTAGAAACTATCAAATCAGTCAGATTTGCATAATCTGTTTTCCATTGACCTACTATGTCTAATATTTCCTACTGACTTAATTATATATAATGTTGATATGTTTGCAGTTTTTCTTGGGCAAAAGGGATTTTTCCCTGAGAAGTGAGATTAAGAGAAAATTCCTTAATAACATATGCAGCAATAACATCTTCAAGAATTTCTGTTCTTGGAGCCTCTCATTTCTTGGAGGATCTGATGAGACAAACCTAAACATGGTATGTATTGCATTTTTGTTATTTCAGATTTAAATACTTAAATTCCCAATGGTCATCTCATGAGCTGAGATAAGAGAGTGTTTAATTATCAGTGGTCTGTGGTCTGTTATAGCCCAGGAAGTTCTATTTGTGTTGCTCCCTTTGTAGATATTCATAGAATTAAACTGTGCTTTGTACATTCAATGATAAAACACCCAAATTTACCTCTGATGGAAACCACTGTTCTATGGCCTCCCCCATGAATGTAACTCCATCCAGTGCTGGGATTTTGTCCCCAAGATCCCTGGAATTCGATCAACCAGTCAACAGAAATTTGATGTTCAATACAAAAGGAGTTTCCAACTTCTCCTAAAAGCAGTCTCAAGTACCAAATACGAGTCTCTTCATAACCAAAACAATACTATTCATCACAAGCAGAACCTCTGGGATTTGTCCCCAGTATTTTAAGAAAGGGTATGAAGAAGAACCCTCTTCCCCCATCAAAATTAGCTGTCTGAATTGTCTTTTGTAGAGTCGCATTGATGTCTACATGTCTCATTTTCCGGATTCAACATCTGTTCAAAATTTGCTTCATTGGGGACAGGTAAAGTATTGGAAAATGTCAAGATGTGGTCATTGCAGTTTTCAAATATAGTCAGTGTCTAGTTTGATGCCATTTTAACTGTCATGGTGCAATGGTATAGAATCCTGGGATATGCAGCTTGGTGGTGCACCAGCACTCTTTGGCAGATAATCCAAATAACATGTAAAACTACAACTCTAATTATTCCATAGCATTTAGCCTTGGCATAATTGTACAATGTAAATGTCTTTAATTCCCAAACGCAAGGTCCCTTATTTAGCTGTTTTTAGAAGTCATAGAATCATAGAATCAAAGAGTTGGAAGAGACCTCATGGGCCATCCAGTCCAACCCCCTGCCAAGAAGCAGGAATATTGCATTCAAATCACCCCTGACAGATGGCCATCCAGCCTCTGTTTAAAAGCTTCCAAAGAAGGCGCCTCCACCACACTCCGGGGCAGAGAGTTCCACTGCTGAACAGCTCTCACAGTCAGGAAGTTCATAATATTCAGATGGAATCTCCTTTCTTGTAGTTTGAAGCCATTGTTTCGCGTCCTAGTCTCCTAGTCTTTGTATTGTTTAGTTTTAGAGCTATGTTAGGGAGTCGTTTTAGAGTATTTTAATTAGCATTTAGTTACATATTTAATATGATAATACATTTTGCATCAGTTGGAGCCCCCAGTGAATGAAGATGCATTAAATAGATAAATATAATGAATAGTGATCCTGAAATTTTGCTTTAGGTGATTTAGCAACTGAGGGCCTTTCTGCACTGCCCTTAATCCCAGGAGAAACTGGAATATTTTATCCCAGTTACTCCTGGGATTGAGGCCCACACTCTTCCAGAATCCTGGGCTTTCCTAAAGGTTGACATGGGAGGGCACAGAGCCAGTCCCCCATCCCCCCCCCAAACCTAAATGAGGGGTCTGACTGTATCAGGCCCATTTGTGGAAAGCTCCTGGTGCATGAAAATGATGCGCCAGGAGGTGGGGAGGGGGATTTCCCTCCTCCTCAAGCATCATTTTCATGCATCAGGCACTCTCTCTGGAGGGGCCTGCAGCTACAACCAGAATCCTCACAAGTTTGGGCGGGGGGGGGGGAATGGGGGACTGGAAGGGTGGGGATGCCACCCCACTCCTTTGGGCTCTTTGAGCACAATGATATAATAATAATAATAATAATAATAATAATAATAATAATAATAATTTTTATCTTCCACCCTCTCTCCCCAAGAGGATTCAGGGTGGGTTCACAACAAAAGATGGTGAACATTTAATGCCAGATCCACTTCATAAATAAGAAACATAAAACACACAACCATATCCCCAACAAACAATATCCACAGTCAAAATTATACCCCAAAATTAAATAATATCATAACCTATCACTTAATCTACATCTAAGAACTGGGATTGCTGTGTGGATTGACCCCCAGAATTGCAAAAGCTGTCCCAAGAGTCAATCCACACAGCAATCCCGGAACCCACACCTGGAAAGATCCAAACTTAAGTTCCGGATCTTTCTAGGTGTCTACTTAATTTGGAGTAAACTGGGAAATCCCAGTTTACTCCTGATTAATTCAAGTTTACTTGACACATCATTTGAACACCTGAGATAAATCTGAGTCAGGTCTTGAGATATGGGCTTGTCTGGATGGGCCCTGAGTCAGAAACTGGTAAAACCTTATAGGAATTATGATGCTGTCTGCATTTTAAAACAAATAGTAAGTAAACAGGTATAGAGTTTAATAAAAAACGCATTTAGGTACACCCCTTGTTTGGCAGCAGAATTAGAATGCAATAGAAGTGGGACAGAAAAGTAGAATTAAATCTCATATTAATTACTAAAATGTGGAAGAGCATTATTAGAGGGTTGGGTTTAATGAAATGGTGATTCACAATAGGTTGTAATTGTTCACAGTTGCTAAGAACTTATTCTTCTTCCTCCATTACTAGATATACAAAACAGGAAAATTCAGAGCTTTTGATTATGGAAATGGCAACATGGAGAAATACAACCAGGTAAGATATTTATGCAACATATAAAAGATTTTAATTAGCCCCATCTCAGTGGTGAAGGAAGCTCTACCTAAACAAATAAATATGCCAAATTACAGTTTCCATATTTTTTTGTGTGTGTCAGGAGTGACCTGAGAAACTGCAAGTCACTTCTGGTGTGAGAGAATTGGCCGTCTGCAAGGACGTTGCCCAGGGAACACCCGGATGATTTGATGTTTTTATCATCCTTGTGGGAGGCTTCTCTCATGTCCCCGCATGAGGAGCTGGAGCTGATAGAGGGAGCTCATCCGCCTCTCCCCGGATTCGAACCTGTGACCTGTGGTCTTCAGTCCTGCCGGCACAGGGGTTTAACCCACTGCACCACCGGGGACTCCGTAGTTTCCATATTAGTAATGAGTTGTCTAATAGTTTCCATATTAGAAATTAGCAATATTGCTGAGTTGCAACACTCATCATTTGTCATCATTGGCTAGACTGTAGTCCAAAGATATCTAAAGAGCTACCAGCTGACCATCTAAACTTGCCCAAAAGTGAGCAATTGAATTTGGTGCACGATGGAGTTCTGTACAGATCAAAGTTACATCTCAAATAAATGATTCAGCATTGTCCAGTTTTGATAGCTTTTTTTTCCAGATGTGATGCCACTTGCTATGCAATTTTTTTAAAATAATTGCTTTTAGTAGGCTAGGACATAAGTTCGAAAAATGCCTACATTCCTTTAGGAATCTGAAAAACTGCTTGTGCTATTTCTCTGTTGCCTAAGAGAAAATTAAAACTTGAACCTATTCATAGATCTAAGTTGAGTAGATTCACTTAATCAATTGGATTTATTTCAATGTCACCTCCAAATTCAACAATTGATTTAATAGATCCATTCAAGACTTTGGCCATAAAGATAAAGTAATTGGAAAAAAAGTTAAAATCTTTTAAGGTGCTTTAAAAAAAACAATTTTCCAGGTTAAATTGTTTTTAAATGCCTTATACTTGTCTCGTGATGTTTTGTATCGATGTTGTTCTCGTGATGCTTTGTATCAATGTTGTTCACCGCTTTGAGTCACCTGAGGGTTGAGAAAAGCGGTATATAAATAAAGTAAATAAATAAATAAATTTAGAAAACACCTCAATTCTTTCTCTTTTTTTCTAGACTGAGCCTCCATCATATAACCTACACCTTATGAGAGTCCCAACTACTGTATGGTTTGGTGAAAAGGACTTGTTTGCTGATCCTGATAATGTCAAAACTTTAATGTGTCGCCTTCAGAATGTGGTCTATGAAAACAACTTATCTAACTGGACTCATTTTGATTTCCTTTGGGGTCTTGATGCCCCTGAGAGACTTTACAAACCACTCATTGAATTGATCAGCCTACATCCTTAGAACTATAATTTCCATCTCCAGGTCTATTATATTGTTTTTGTTTTACAAGGGAGGATGGAGGGTGGGATATAGACATTCCAATACCATTTAATATGCTTGAAATATATTTTGATTTGAGGCACATAATTCTTTTTTAAAATATCTTTATTGAGGAGTTTTCAGTTTACTTAAAAAGGGGTTGACCAGGGAGGAAAGTCTAGGGAAGGTTAAAAATTGGTATGGGAAGGAAAGGGAGTGTGGGGTAATGGATGGGGGAAAAGTAGGGGGATAGAGTTTCGGGGTAACATGAAAGGTGTAAGTTGTTGGCATATATCTACAACTAAGCTACATTGGTTTTAAGTTGATAAATTTCTATATATTTGTACTCTATTTTAAGAGAACCAGACGTATGTTGTATGTTGTATGTTGTGTTTGCACTGTTTGTTTTTGATAAGGCCAACTGGCTAATCAATAAAAATTGTTGTTGTTGTTGTTGTTGTTGTTGGCTTCCCATCTTCTCATTTCTGGGATGTTGCATCTCCTTTTATCTCTTCTTCTGTTCTTGATCCTCCTCTTCTTCATCATCATTTAAAGGACTACTAGCCCCTTTCCTCTTAGTATTTATGTCCATATTTCCATTTTTTTCTTTTTCCATAAACCTTGTTAGTAAACTCCAGTCTGCTATTATTTTAGTTTGTTATGTTGCGCAGCAGCGGATTTTACCCAGCGCCCAAAGTCCAAATGCAATAGACTCACAGACAAGAGGAAAAATGAAGAGAAAAATCTTTACTCTTTATTCAGCAGAGATAAAACATAAACTTGCAATGTTGCGTACAAAAATAAAACAGTGCAAGGAACTTACATAGTCCTTGTAAGTAACACAAAACAAGGCATCTTCATCTTTAATGAAGATCTCTCTCCATGAACCGTCCCGAGCTCTTAGATACTCGGGGGAGGTTCTCCTTTTGCCCTTGCCATTATCACAGGCTCATCTTGTAAGTACAAGGGAGAGAGCCCTCTCCTCTGTGGCCCCCCGACTCTAACTCATTGCCCGGTGAGATTAGGAAGGCCCCCACCTTAGAAATTTTCAAGAGGGATCTCAAAACCTGGTTTTTCCGATGCACTTTTGGAGAGTAGCCATATTATCATACACAGTTGCTCCCCCTCAACGGTTTTTGTCCCCAGAGTATATTTCCCCACCTGTATGAAGGTCTATATTTATGACCCCGTTCCTTTATGAGTTTCTCCCCCACAAACAATCTGCTCCATCCCTATCTCATCCTGATTTTAGTATTTTTAGTATCTTAGTTTTTATCTTGCACATGCGGCCCGCTCATTGTTATTTTATTTTATTTTATTGTGTATGATTTTGCTTTATCATTTTTGTACTCATATGTTGTATGTATTTTACTGTGTTGTTATTGTGTTTTGGTTTTACTTTATTGTACTATGGTGTTGGGCTTGGCCTCATGTAAACCGCTCCGAGTCCCCATTGGGAAAATGGTGGCGGGTATAAATAAAGATTATTATTATTATTATTATTATTATTATTATTATTATATCAAATGAGAGAGCAAAACATAAACCTTGAGCAAATAGCTATTCCACCATAGCCTCCTGCAGAGTAGCTTCTCCATGCTGCTCCCCAGAGCAAAGCCTTTGAGCATAGATATCCTCAGAGAAAAAGCTCTCTAGAAGCTCTCCACCACCCAGTATTCTAAAAACTCATACAATTATACCCTATCAGGTGTGGACCAAGTTTGCTGATTGACCTACATTAACAGATGCACATAATAATTACCGTCATAAGGTTTTTCTTTAACACACACACACTTGGTCTTGCTATGACTTACTACAACATGTTTGTGTCTAAGTTGATGTGTCAGGCTATCTATATTTCTAATTTCCAACATTTTGACTAACCATTCTTTTATACTTGAGGCCAGGCATGTAGCCGGGGGGGGGGGGGGGGCTGGGGGGGCTTCAGCCCCCCCCCCCAAATTCTCATGGTGGTTCGCGAAAAGGCCTTACTGGTGCATTATTTAAACTGTTATGTTTATTCATATCATGATCTGATCACCATACTCAATATATCCCATATGCATGGGGTATTGGGGTAATGATACAAAAGGTTTGCTAGGTAGACCCTCTTTCACTCAGACTCAGCCCCCCCCCCGAAACTCAGCCCCCCCCAAAACCCCCCCTGAAAATTTTTTAGCCCCCCCCCCCCCGAAACGAAATCCTGGCTACGGGCCTGCTTGAGGCACAGAATTCTTTCTTTCACACAATGCTGGTCCTTTATGGTGGACAGGTTGTGGGAGGAGTGTAAATATGGTAAGATTTCCTGTGGAAAGGTTAAATGATATGTCCTCTGTGCACAGAAGAGCATTGCTATCTCTCTTGATGACATTAAGGCCAATGCAGATTGAGCTACTAACAATCAAAGGGCATTTTTTGCCCTGCAGCACCATCACCTCCAGGCTCACTAGCTTGTCCTAATTTTAGAACGTCACCTAATTAGCTCTTTTTTTCTAATTAGCCCACCTTTAGCTCTCTTTTTAGACAGTCTTAAAACTGCTGGATTGCTGGCATTTAGCTTGATACGATTGCTTTTGAAATACATTTTTTCTGGACATTTTGGTACATAGAGTGTACTGTAGAAAACTATTAGTCTTATGCTTGCTGATGTGAGCTGTCCAGTAATATTTTTGAATTATAATGGGATTTGATAAATTTGTACACCTTGTTTGAATGTTCAGGAACCTGCAATGTGAATCACTTGAGAAAGAGAGGCCACAATTTCCTCTACTAAGGCCCTCCATAGATTAGAAATAGAACTTCTTTGTTGGGGAAGTGATGTACTCAAGTAACTTCTGTGCATAAGTCACAGCTGATAATTGCATTGAGTGAGCCTACAGAAGTACAGAAGGTTCTCTGCCATAAATGTTCCCCTCCCACACTGTGTTGACTATGAACATTTGGAAACTATATTGTCCAAAATGTAATGATATGATTGTTAACAAGTTTCGTGTACCATTATAGAACATCAACTGATCATCCACATTGACCATCTTTAGCTCTCATTTTAGGCAGTCTTAAAACTGTTGGGTTGCTGGCATTTGGCTTGATAAGATTGCCATTGAAATGCATTTTTTTCTGGACATTTTGGTGCATAGAGTGTGCTGTAGGAAACTGTTGGTTTTACGCTTGCTGATGTGAGCTGTCCAGTGATATTTTTAAATAATAATGGGATTTAATAAATCTGTAAACCTTGTCTGAATGTTCAGGAACCTGCGATGTGAATCACTTTAGAAAGAGAGGGTACAATTTCCTCTACTAAGGCCCTCCATAGATTGAAAAGAGAAGTTCTCCATTGGGGAACTGATGTACTCAAGTAAACTTTGTGCATAAGTCACAGCTGTTAATTGCACTGAGCAGCCTACAGAAGTATAGAAGACGCTCTGACACAAATGCTCACCTCCTACACTGGGCTGATTATGAACATTTGGAAACTACAAATTGTCCAAAATGTAATGATAATCTGTCACTCCTTCCCACCTGTTACTGAGGAGGCTGTCCAGACCTTGAACCGGTGCTTGGACACTGTGTCGGACTGGATGAGGGCTAACAAATTGAAGTGGAATCCAGACAAGACAGAGGTCCTCCTAGTCAGTCGAAAGGCCAAACAGGGCATAGGGTTACAGCCTGTGTTGGATGGGGTTACACTCCCCCTGAAGACGCAGGTTCACAGTTTGGGAGTGATCCTGGATTCATCACTGAGCCTAGAGCCCCAGGTTTCGGCGGTGGCCAGGGGAGCTTTTGCACAGTTAAAGCTTCTGCGCCAGCTACACCCATACCTTGAGAAGTCTGATCTGGCTATGGTAGTCCATGCTCTTGTTACATCCCGAATAGATTACTGCAATGCACTCTACATGGGGCTGCCTTTGAAGACTGAAACTGTCTTTCGGGCTGCAAAGGTGGACAGTGAGCTACACAATGGTCGGAAGCTCACTCCGACCCAGGCTGGCTTCGAACTCATGACCTTTCGGTCAGTAGTGATCTAATGCACCTGACTCCCAGTCAGCTGCGCCACAGTCCTGATGCCTACCTTCTCTCCTCTTGCACTTCACATCATCTGTACTGAATAGGGCCAAACAGAAGAATGCATTGTTAGACTGCATTGAACCTATATGGGACACGGAAGCCTACACACATGCTGCTGTATCTCTTCATGCCCAACACTCAGGATTTCTTTCAAGTCAAAGGGACTGTGCAAAATGTAATTTTTACATAATGGGATAAAATGAAAGTGGGGAAAATGTAATAATGAAATCATGTCTGAGTACTTGGTGAATAAAGTTGATTGTCCTTCACACAGTGACTGGAAGAACCTATTCTGTTAAACAAAACATCCGGTAATATCAAACAATCTTTTTTAAACTAATGGCGTTGGAGTCTCAACGGCTTCTTGTGCTGGGAGACTTCAACATCCATGCCGAGGCGACCCTCTCAGGAGCGGCTCAGGACTTCATGTCTGCCATGGCAACCATGGGGCTGTCCCAAAAAATATCTGGCCCCACCCACTGTGCTGGACATACATTGGACTTGGTTTTCTGCCAGGGATGGGAGCAGGGTGGCGGTGTGGAGGAGTTGTCCATCTCTCCGTTGCCATGGACTGACCACTTCCTGATCAGATTTAGGCTCACTGCACCCCCTAACCTCTGCAAAGGTGGAGGACCCATTAAGATGGTCCGCCCCAGGAGGCTTATGGATCCGAATGGATTCCTGACGGCTCTTGGGGAGTTTCCCGCCTCCTCGGTAGGTGACCATGTCGAGGCCTTGGTCGCTCTCTGGAATGGGGAGATGGCCAGGGCAATTGACGTGATCGCTCCGGAACGTCCCCTCTCAAGTAGCCGAGCTAAACCAGCTCCTTGGTTTACTGAGGAGCTGGCAGTGATGAAGCGAAGGAAGAGGGAACTAGAGAGCGTGTGGCGTTCGGACCCAAGCGAGCCAAATCGAGCACGGTTTGTGTCCTTCTTAAGGGCATATGCCGCGGCAATAAAAGCCGCAAAGAAAACTTTCTTTGCGGCCACTATTGCGTCTGCAAAAAACCGTCCGGCGGAGTTGTTTCGGATTGTCAGAGGTCTTTTAACTCCCGCCACTTTAGGCGGGAGCCCTGACAATTCGGTCACGCGCTGTGAAGCATTTGCTCGGTTCTTTGCAGACAAAGTCGCTTTGATCCGTTCTGGGCTGGACACCATATTAAATGCAGTCTCAGAGGATGTGACTCGAACACCTGCTTGTCCTATTTTGATGGATTCTTTTCAGTTTGTGAAACCCGAGGATGTGGACAAGATACTTGGAGGAATGAGACCCACCACGTCCATCCTAGACCCCTGTCCATCCTGGCTTCTGAAAGAGGCCAGAGGGGGATTGGCTGAGTGGGTAACGGTGGTGGTTAACGCCTCCCTTCGGGAAGGCAAGATTCCAGCGAGCTTAAAACAAGCTATTATAAAACCGCTGTTGAAGAAACCATCATTGGACCCCACTAAATTTGACAACTTTCGGCCTGTTTCCAATCTCCCCTTTTTGGGCAAAGTCATGGAAAGCGTGGTGGCCTCACAACTCCAGGTATTCTTGAGAGACACGGATTATCTGGATTCGGCACAGTCTGGTTTCAGACCGGGACATGGAACCGAGACAGTCTTGGTCGCCTTAGTGGATGATCTGCGCCGGGAGCTAGACAGGGGGAGTGTGTCCCTGTTGGTGCTCCTGGACCTCCAGCCTCTGTTTAAAAGCTTCCAAAGAAGGAGTCTCCACCACACTCCGGGGCAGAGAGTTCCACTGCTGAGTTCTTCCTAATGTTCAGATGGAACACCCAAAGGCCATCTAGTCCACTCCCTTTTGCTAGGCAGGAAGGCACTATCGGAGCCCTCCTGACAGATGGCCATTTGGCCTCTCTCATAGATCACAGAGTTGGGAGACACCCTCAAAGGCCATCTAGTCCAACCCCTTTTTGCCAGGCAAGAAGACACCATCAAAATAGTCCCAACAGATGGCCACCCAGCCTCTGAATGATAGAATTGTAGACTCCCAGAATTGGGAGAGACTTCCAAAAGGTCATTCAATCCAACCCTCTCGTACTAAGAAGAAATAAACTGTTAAAACCCTCCTGACAGATGGCCATCCAGCCTCTGCTTTAAAATATCCAGGGAAGGAGACTGCTGCACACAAATCCTAGGCTTGGAAGAGATCCCAAAGGCCATCCAGTCCAACCCACTTCTGCCAGAAAGAAAGATACAATCAAAACCTTCCCAAAAGATGTCCATCCACCTTCTGTTTCATAGAATTGTAAACTCAAAAAGTTGGGAGAGACCCCCAAGGGCCATTTAGTCCACTCTATTCTGACATCCATGAAGACACCATTCAAGCCCTCCTGACAGATAGCCATCCAGCCTCTGTTTGAAAGGCTCTTGAGAAAGCAGCTACCATAATCATCTGAATCTCATAGGGATGTGCATTTGCAAAGCAATGTCTCTATGAAAGTAACGGGTCCTTTATATTCAACCTGGAATCTCTGCATTCAGTTCTATCTTGCATTGTGCACACAAATGTGCCCATGCGCAGCTCTTATGGCTATTTGGTCAGTTGCAAGCTTGCAGTCTGGGTTGTGTCCCCCCACGAGGGCCTTGAGATCATCTGGGGAGGCCCTTCTCTCGATCCCGCCTGCTTCACAAGCACGTCTGGTGGGGACGAGAGAGAGGGCCTTCTCGGTGGTAGCCCCCCGGCTGTGGAACACCCTCCCTGTTGACATCAGACAGGCGCCCTCCCTGATGTCCTTCCGAAAAAGCTTGAAGACATGGCTTTTCGAGAAGGCATTTAAATAAGTGCTATCAATCGGTAACTGACGACGGGAACGGAATACAGACTACGAACTTGGCTATGATTCTATGATGAGACGAAGCGGACCATTTAGTTGTAATTGTATTATTTTGTATTATTGTTATTGTTGTTCTTGCCTTTTGTAATTGTTTTATATGTTGTACACCGCTGCGAGTCGCCCTAGGGCTGAGAGCGGCGGTCAACAAATGAAGTAAATAAATAAATAAATAAATATTGCTATAGGACTTAATGTGATTGAATCCTGGGATTTGTTGTTTGGTGAGGCACTAGCACTCTTGGGCAGAGAAGGCTAAAATACCTTGCAAGACGACAATCTCAGGATGCCATAGTATTGAGCTGTGGCAGTTCAAGCAGTCTCAAGCTGCATTAATTCTACCGTGTGGATGCACCCCTAGTTTAACGATACTTTAAAAACTTTTTAAAATTTACTATATTTGAAAGCAATGCTTCTTTTAACTGTTGCAAACTGCCTCAAGCCCCAGAGTGGAGAAAAAGTGATAATAATAATAATAATAATAATAATAATAATAATAATAATAACCATCATCAATCTTCTTCTTCCCTTTTCCCTTGTTTAGCTTGGAGAAGACTCGGACTATGACAAACTCAGCGACATGGTCAAATACCTAGACTTGGAGCTGCATTTTGGAACGCAAAAGCCCGCAAGTGAGTCCTGTAGTCCTTTTGGGGTGGGAAAATTCTGAGATTCCCAGGGCCTTATCAAACTACAAATCACAGGATTCCATGGCATTAAAGCTATGGCAGTTAAAAGTGGGGCAAAACAGTGTTGATGTACACTTAGAGACATCAAATAATTCGAAGAGGGTGCGAAAACAATATTATATATCAATAGCTGTATATGCAACCGGAAAATGAAATTTCTAGGTCCTTCTGGGTCATCCAATGCAATTCTAGAGTGGGATTTTGGTGGGATTTGTTGCAATGCAAGGAAAGGGATATTTTTGGTAGGGACTCAATGGTGGTGGCAACATGTCCATCCGAATTGTGATCTTGGATTTCTGATGCATCTGGTTGTATTGTCTTGCTGACTTTCCCCTCTCCAGACCCAAATGGTTTTCCTATTTGTTGTCCATCCCATTTCCCATAATATCTTCCCCCCTCTGTATGTATCCCTTATTTTCTCCATCCCGGCGTCCCGAGCCCTCTCCTGATCTCTGGTTAAATCTCCCAGTTTCTCTTCCAGAGCCAAACCCTTTGCCTGAGTCCTTTAAAAAGAAAGACGTGGTTGAGATTCTGTCGCACAAGAAGGCCTACAACACAGGTAGGGGGGGGGTGCGGACACTGTTCCCGTCCAGGACATGGAAAGGTATTATTGGGGGTCTTCTGTGTGCTCTCAGTGTAACAATTACAGGTCTGCCCATTGCCTTGCTTCTCCTTGCAGCCATCCTGATTGCGCACCTGAAGCTCTCCCACATTGAACTGCGTCAGATCCTGCTGAACATGGAGAGTGACCGCCTAGAGCCTTCACACATCAAGCAACTGCTGCTTTATGCGCCCGACGCTGAGGAGGTCCAGCGTTATCGCAGCTATCAGGGCAACCCCAGCAAACTCAGTGAGCCGGACCAGTTTGCCCTACAGGTGGGCCTATGACAAGGAAAACCAGGGGCGGCGGGGAGCGCTATATGGCAAAGCAACAAAAGAGTGGGACCAAGTCAACAAAAGTTATGAATGGGGAAGAGCAGACTGAACCCAAAGAGGCCGCAGTGGTTTGTGTTTGCCTGAGTTGACAGGGAAGGGAAATGTCATGCTCATTTGAATGAAAAATGTCACCCTGCTGTAAAATGCAATTTGAAATGGCATATCTATGATCAGTGTAGACCAGGCATGGGCAAACTTTGGCCCTCCAGGTGTTTTGGACTTCAACTCCCACAATTCCTAACAGCTGGTAGGAATTGTGGGAGTTAGGTTGTTAGGATTTGAAGTCGGAAACAACTGGAGGGCCAAAGTTTGCCCATGCCTGGTGTAGACTCATAAAATTCTGTTTAACTGCATAGAACTGCATTATATGGTCAGAACAACAACAACAGCAGCAGTTTTTATTTCTCCTCCTTCTTTGTAGTATTTCTTGCCTGCTTCTCCCCAGGCCTTGAGGCAGGGTACACAATTTTATACACACACACACACACACACAACACATACAAAATACTTTGTATTTCTTTCCTGCTTCCCCCTAAAGCTTGAGGTAGGTTACAACAGAAATAATAATAATAATAATAATAATAATAATAATTTGTTTTTCTTAGCTGCTTCCCCCAAGGCTTGAGGTGGGTTACAACAACAACAACAACAACAACAACAACAACAACAACAACAACATAAAATAATAATAAATTGACTTGAGGCATGGCTCCCCAGAATTAAAATGCAATAGATAAAAAATAGATATACATAGATTGAAAAAGAAAAACATTGACAAGATTAACACCTATGGGTACAACAGAGATGATGATGATGATGATGATGATGATGATGATGACAACGATAGTTTGGATTCCTTACCTGCCTCTCTGAAGGCAAAGTACAACAGAATTAAAACACAATAGATCAAAACATTATCATTATTGTATTGTTGAAGGCTTTCATGGCTGGAATCACTGGGTTGTTGTGGGTTTTTCAGGCTATATGGCCATGTTC